TCCACCTCCCGGGTTCACGCCATTCTCCTGCCTCAGCCTCCCGAGTAGCTGGGACTACAGGTGCCCGCCACCTCGCCCGGCTAATTTTTTGTATTTTTAGTAGAGACGGGGTTTCACCGTGTTAGCCAGGATGGTCGTGATCTCCTGACCTCGTGATCCGCCCCTCTCGGCCTCCCAAAGTGCTGGGATTATGGGCGTGAGCCACCGTGCCCGGCATATAGTTTGTTTTTAAGAGATGGAGTCTCACTGTATTGCCCAGGCTGCACTTGAACTCCTGAGCTCAAGAGATCCTCCTGTTTCTGCCTCTGGAGTAGCTGGGACTACAGGGGTGCACCACTGCACCCCGCTAAGAAGTGATTTTTCCAAGTGACTTTAACATAATCTTTTATTATATATAGTTGCCCCTTACTGTTGTTTATGTATTTTCCCCAAAGGCGAAAGAAGAATTCGTGTTCATACTTTGTGTTTGCCAGTAGTTTCAACTCTGAATGATGTCTTTCTTGGAGCTGATGTTCAAGCAATTTCAGGGTTATTGGCCAATATGGGTAAGAGTTGTTATCTCTTATAAATATTTTACAAGTAATAACATTAGGCACATCCAAACAGTTTTGTTTTCCCTTAAATAGTTAGCTTTATAGTTTGAATGTTTTAGATCCCCTGGGTGCCTGCTAAGTAACTATTTGAATGAAAAGATCTGCTGCAGATAATCTTATCTTTTTTGTTTGTTTATTTAAACAAATTTATTGAAATATAATTACATACCATACCATTTCATCCAATTTAGTTGATAATTCATTTGTTTTTAGTGTTTTTACAGAGTTGTACAGCTATCACCACAATCTAATTTTATAACATTTCCGTTGCCCCAAGAGAAACCTCATGCTCATTAGCAGTTACTGCCCTCTTCTTCCTCTCTCCCTTACTGGCCTTAAGTAACCACTATAGTATAGACACTATATTTGTCTACACTGAACTTAGCTGTATCTTTTTTTTTTTTTTTTTTTGAGCTGGAGTTTCGCTCTTGTTGCCCAGACTGGAGTGCAATGGCACGATCTCAGCTCACCACAACCTCTATCTCCCGGGTTCAAGTGATCCTCCTGCGTCAGCCTCCCAAGTAGCTGGGATTACAGGCATGTGCCGTCATGGCCGGCTAATTTTTGTATTTTTAGTAGAGACAGGGTTTCTTCATGTTGGTCAGCTGGTCTTGAACTCCCGACCTCATGTGATCCACCTGCCTTGGCCTCCCAAAGTGCTGGGATTACAGGCGTGAGCCACCGTGCCCGGCCAACTATATGTTATGTAATGATTAATATTAGTGCTATTTAATACTCTTTTTATGTGAAACAGTGTACCATAAAGATCATTAGACTTAGAGTCATGGAATTTGGGATTGAAAAACCAGTTTACCACCATACATTTGTTTACAGCCACATCATGTGAGCCAATAGAAAACTTACTGATATCTTAACCTATTTATTTCCATCTCAGATATAATTGCCTTCTTGATTTTTTTTTGGTCCTTTTCAAATACATACAGCTTAGTAACATCATTTTGATTCTTGTGGTCTTTCTACTTGAAGGAAGACTTTCAGTGGGTCTATTTTCTTTCTTTGGTTTTTGAAAAACAGTTTTGCTCTGTCACCCAGGGTGGAGTGCAATGGTGTGGTTCTAGCTCATTGCAGCCTTGACCTCCTGGGCTCAAGGGGTCCTCCCACCTCAGCCTCCTGAATAACTGGGATTAGAGGCCCACACCACCACACCCAGCTAACTAACTTTTATTTTATTTTATTTTATTTTATTTTATTTCATTTCATTTTATTTTATTTTATTTTATTTTATTTTGAGACGGAGTCTTACTCAGCCTCCCAGGATGGAGTGCAGTGGCACAATCTCAGCTCACTGCAACCTCTGCCCCCAAAGTTCAAGCAATTCTCCTGCCTCAGCCTCCCGAGTAGCTGGGACTATAGGCGCACGACACCACACCCAGCTAATTTTTGTATTTTTAGTAGAGTCGGGGTTTCACCATGTTGGCCAGGATGGTCTCGATCTCTTAACCTCATGATCCACCCACCTTGGCCTCCTAAAGTGCTGGGATTACAGATGTGAGCCACCACGCCCGGCCCTCACCCAGCTACCTTTAAAAAAATTTTTTTAGAGACAAAGAGTCTCACCATGTTGCCCAGGCTGATCTTGAATCCTGGGCTCAAGCAATCTTCCTGCTTTGGCCTACCAAACTATTGGGATTACAGCTGTGAGCCACCACACCCAGCCTCAGTAAGTCCATTTGCTTCAAACTTAATTCTGTCTGTATCGGGAATAGTTACTTACTTTCTTGAATTTCCTATTGGGAAAAATGTTTTACATGGAGCCTGGTAAAGGATTTACCCACACTTCAATCTTTTATGTTGTTAGATATTCAGGAAATTTGTGAAATTTGAAGATCATTGCCTTTATTTTTTTGTTTAAGTTACATTTTTTTTTTGTAACTGTGATTATTGTTATGAATGACAGCAGTAACTATTAGGTAGGTTTTGTGGATTTTTGATAAATTGTCACAACTTCATAAGTATTGGTTCTGCTACTATATTGAATGTACTTTTAGTACCACGTGGATGGAGTTTAATTAAAGTTTGACAAGTCTTCCAAACAATTATCCTTTTTTTTTTAAAGTTTTGAAAAAAAGTTTTCATGCAGAAATGCTTCTAAACAGAGTGGCATGACAAATGATGAAAATCTGTCTAAATAAGAGGCCAGGCATGGTGGCTCATGTCTGTAATCCTGGGACTTTGGGAGGCTGAGGTGGGTGTATCACTTGAAGCCAGGAGTTCAAAACCAGCCTGGCCAACATAGTGAAACCCTATCTCTACTAAAAATGCAAAAAAGAAAAAAAAAAATTAGTCGGGTGTGGTGGCACATGTCTGTAGTCCCAGCTATAGTCCCAGCTACTCAGGAGGCTGAGGCAGGAGAATTGCTTGAACCTGGGAGGCGGAGGATGCAGTGAGCCAAGACCACACCACCGCACTCCAGCCTGGGCGACAGAGCGAAACTCTGTCTCTAAATAAATAAATAAATAAATAACTCTAAGAACTCTTTCTGTAAATATGAAATAACTCTGGGCTGGGGATAGTGGTTCATGCCTATAATCCCAGCACTTTGGAAGGCTGAGGCAGGAGGATTGCTTGAGACCAGAAGTTTGAGATCAGCTTGGGCAACACAGGGAGACTTTGTACAAAAAATTTGGTTTAATTAATTAATTAAAATTAAAATTTCAAAAGAACTCTGTTTCAAAATACTCTGTGTTTCAGGAAACACAGGAAAGCATTGTGTGTTTAATTGCAATGTTTTTCTTTCTCAGTGGTATATAAAATGTTGGATTACAATCAGTAGCATAACTGAGGCTCAGGAAGGTTAAATTACTTGCCAAATCATTATACAACTAGGAAATAGCAGAGCAGCATTTCAACAGAGGTTGGCTCAGTTCTCCAGACCATACTTTTAGCTGCTGTGTTTTGCCTCGTTTGTGTATATAGTAAATTGGAGAGATACTTAGTATAGTTTTTAAAAATTATCTCTTCTATCCTTAACAGTGGACTAGCTAAACTTCTATCATATTTCTTTTTTGTCCTTACCCTCACCTTGCTTAGCTGTTGACAGATCTATGACTGCCAGTCTGAGTGACGCTCGGGATGCTCTAGTGAATGCAGTCATTGACTCCCTTTCAGCTTACCGTTCTTCAGTCTTAAGTAACCAGCAGCCTGGACTCGTGGTTCCTTTTTCTTTGCGGCTTTTCCCACTTTTTGTATTGGCTCTCCTTAAACAGGTAAGAAAAACAGTACAGAAACTAACACAGTGATGGCCAGGCACTGTGGCCTACACCTGAAATCCCAGCACTTTGGGTGGCTGATGTGGGTGGATTGCTTGAGTCCAGGCATTTGAGACCAGCCTAGGCAACATGGTGAAACCTGGTCTCTGCAAAAAATACAAAAAAACTAGCCAGGTGTGGTGGTGCACACCTGTAGTCCCAGCTATTTGGGAGGCTGAGGTGGGAGGATGGTTGAGTCCAGGAGACAGGTTGTAGTGAGCCCATATCGCGCCACTGTACTCCAGCTTGTGCGAGAGAGCCCGACTCTGTCTCAAAATAAACAAACAAAAAGAAAGAAACGAACACAATGGAAACATCAAAAGGCAAATTTTTTTTCCTATGAATCCCTAAACATTGTATATGTAACTTTATGCTGGTTAAATTTTTGACGACAGGGGCCTTACCTCTTATTTGAACTTTGAAAAGTTTAATAACCAAAAAAAGTTACAGAAAACTGATTCAGAGTAAGTTCCTTGTTCATAAGATGCTTCTTTAAGCTAAGTATTCAGTGACATTATAAAAAATTCAACTGATAATCAGTTTTCCAAAACAAGAATTTTATATTATATTGCTGGTGCAAGAAAGCACACATGCACTGCGTGTTCTCACTTATACGTGAAAGCTAGAAATCAAACACACAAAAGCAGAAAGCAGAATAGTGGTTACTAGAGGCTGGGTGGTGAGGAAGGAATGGGGAGATACTGAACAAAAGATACAGTGTTTTAGTTAGACAGGAAGAATAAGTGATAACTATTTGAGATTACGGGTATGTTACCTAGCTTCATTAAATCATTCCACATTTTATACTATATCATAGCATCTCTTTATACCTCATAAATATATGCAATTAGAATTTTTCACCAACAAGAAAGTTAACTTTTTAAAAAAAAGAAGATACCATACATGTGATTTTATTTTATTTTTATTTTTTGGCTCTTTCCTGTCCCTACAGAATTTCAGCGACATTACACTTCTCTCTTTTTTCTTTTTTTTTTGAGTTGGAGTCTTGCTCTGTCACCCAGGCTGGAGTGCAGTAGCACGATCTTGGCTTAACGCAACCTCAACCTCCCAGGTTCAAGTGATTCTCCTGCCTCAGCCTTCCGAGTAGCTGGGATTACAAGCGTGTGCCACTATGTCTGACTAATTTTGTGTTTTTAGTGGAGACAAGGTTTCACCATGTTGGTCAGGCTTGTCTCAAACTCCTGATCTCAGGTGATTTGCCTGCCTTGGCCTCTCGAGGTGCTAGGATTACAGGCATGAGCTACCAATTACACTTCTTAATCTTCTTCTTCTTCTTTTTTTTTTTTTTTCTGAGACAGGGTCTCCCTCTATTGCCCAGGCTGGAGCCCTGTGGCATGATCTCGGCTCACTGCAACCTCCACCTTCTGGGTTCAACCTCCACCTCCTGCATTCAGGCAATTCTCCCGCCTCAGCCTCCTGAGTAGCTGGGATTATAGGCATGCACTACCACACCCCAGCTAATTTTTGTATTTTTAGTAGAGACAGGGTTTCACCATATTGGTTAGGCTGGATTCTAACATCCAACCTCAGGTGATCTTCCCGCCTCAGCCTCCCAAAGTGTAGGGATCACAGTCATGAGCCACCATGCCTGGCCCTTAATCTTCTTCAGATACACTTTATTATACCTGTATACCTGCATACTTGTTTCCATGATCTGGATTGGACTTCCATATCCTTGTCTTTGAGTTTAAATGTTTGTAGGGTTTTTCTTTGTTTTACTTTGTTTGTAGGGTTTTTCATTTGCTATTTATTATTTACATGTCTTCCCTGCCTGCTCTTTGCCTTCCTCCCAGAAAAGAAGGAAAACTCTGGTCTGGTGGAGTAGGCTTATTTATCCAGTGTCCCAAATTGAATGTCCAAGCTTTTTGCCTCAGGATAAACTTCCCTTATAAAATTTTATTTAAAAGCTCGTGTTGGCTGGCCATGGTGGCTCATGCATGTAATCCCAACACTTTGGGAGGCCAAGGCGGGCAGATCACTTGAGTTCAGGAGTTTGAGACTAGCCTGGCCAAAGTGGTGAAACCTCATCTCCACAAAAATTACAAAAATTAGCAGGGCATGGTGGCACATGCCTGTAGTCACAGCTACTTGGGAGGCTGAGGCAGGAGAATCGCCTGAACCCAGGAGGCAGAGGTTGCAGTGAGCTGAGATTGCACCACTGCACTCCAGCCTGGGTGACAGAGCGAGACTCCTTCTCTTAAAATAAAAATTAAATAAATAAAAGCTCATGTTGGCCAGTTGCCGTGGTTCATACCTATAACCCAATATACTTTGAGAGGCCAAGGTAGAAGGATTGCTTAAAGCTAGAGGTTTGAGACCAGCCTGGGCAAGAAAGCAAGAATGTCTCTATTAAAAATTTTGTTTAATTTTTTAAATTAAGAAACAACTCATGTTAAAAATGCACCTGAAGAAGCATTCCAGATTCCAGAACTGTTCAAGGACTGCTGGCTGGGCACAGTGGCTCATGCCTGTAATCCTAGCACCTTGGGAGGCCAAGGCGGGAGGATCGATCGATTGCTTGAGTCTAGGAGTTTGAGACCAGCCTGGACAACATAGTGAAATTCCACCCCTACAAAATAATTTTTTTAATAAGAAAAATAAAGGACTGCTCTGCATCTTTTTTTTTTTTTTTTTTTTTTTTTAAAGTCTTGCTATGTCGCCAGGCTGGAGTGGCAGTGGCGATCTCGGCTCACTGCGACCTCAGCCTCCTGAGTAGCTGGGATTACAGGTGTGCACCACCACACCTGGCTAATTTTTGTATTTTTAGTAGAGATGGGGTTTCCCCATGTTGGCCAGGCTGGTTTTGAACTCCTGACCTCAATGATCCACTGGCCTCAGCCTCCCAAATTGCTGGGATTACAGGCGTGAGCTACCACACCTGGCCTGCATCTTGTCTGTATTTTTCCTAAACTCTGGGATCTACTTGTCTGTTGTGTATAGTTTTTTCCAGGTGAGAAGAGCAACTCATTACTTTCTAGTAGGAGTGGCTTTTGAATCTACAGTTCTTTTTTTTTTTTTTTTTTTTGAGATGGAGTTTCACACTGTTGTCCGGGCTAGAGTGCAGTGTCGTGATCTTGGCTCATTGCAACCTCCGCCTCCTGGATTCAAGTGATTCTCCTGCCTCAGCCTCCAGAGTAGCTGGGATTACAGGCACCCGCCACCATGCCTAGCTAATTTTTTGTATTTTTAGTAGAGACAGGGTTTCACTATGTTGGCCATTCTGGTCTCGAACTCCTGACCTTGTGATCTCTGCCTTCCATGGCCTCCCAAAGTACTGGGATTACAGGCATGAGCCACCGTGCCCAACCTCTAGTTCTCACTTCTCTAATTCAAATTACGTATTTCCATTTCTGAATATAAGTACACAGATTACATAAATATTTAATTTTTTTTTTTTTTTT